AGTATTTATAGGAAAATATGTGTACAAGGGAGGGGGGCGTCACAAGCTTAGCCTAGGGTATCTGGCTAGGAGGTCAGAAGGGATTGCTGTTTTGGATGTGTAATTGCACATTTTACCTCAATAAATTCATGTTTTTTATAGGTGTGTTCATCATGGACTCTGCTCATGGAACGCCAGTTAATTCCAGAGGTAATGTTCTTTGCTTATTTTTCTTTCAATACTCAGTTGCTTATGCTTAGGAGGTAGTCTTGTGTTGGGTCTGGGTCTGACACGGGAGAAAAACACTGCAGCTATATTTGGAAACTGCCATTAATTTCGTCCTGCTAGCTAGCAATGAATTGGATGAAGATCTTGCTCTGGAGGCCTGTAAATTTTGGTACGCTTTCTGTCAACATGGTACCTGAACATGTCATATTCAAACTTTCTATTCATTTTTTTATTCATGATTCTTGCATACTGTTGTTTGTAATTTCTTAAGTTCAATAGTTTTTACTCCCACATTTTTGTTACTTTAGCATCTTAAGCTAATTGATCTTTCTTATTGCTCTGTTACAGTATTAACCACCTGTAAACTTTTCAGGTCGTACTGTGATTCCAGCAAAGGGTTGCAGGAGGTCTTGCCAGAATTAATCCCAGTATGTCATTTTTCTCTTATTTAAACAAATAATGATGCATCTTGGGTTGTTTTCTAACGTCATTGTTTCGTATTTATTTTCTAGACTTTGGTTCAAAAAATGGTTTATACTGATCATGATGATTCTCTGGCTGATATTAAGGTGTGATAGATTTCTTTGTATCTTGCTTGTTTCACTTGTGGTTCATGATGTGATAATAAATATTGTATGCTTTCAGGAATATGAATCCATTTCCATCAGGGACCAGGTTGGTTACATCTTTCGTAATTATTTGTTTTCATTGGAAGTGTCTTTATTAAATGGTTGGTTCTGCATGTTTGAATGTGTAGTCAAGTCTTACATTGGGCTTGTATTTAGTTAGTATAATACTGTGCTGGAACCAATGTTTTTAAGG